TTGCTTTAGCCGAAGCTGGGAGTATTCAGTAAACTGTAATCCTACTGCGTCAGCCGAAGGTCCAGAATTAGTGCACTCGCGAGTAAAAAAACGGGGGGCATAAAAGGGTGGAGGGGCGAATGGAGAATGGGGCCGCCGTCACGCATTTTTTTCGAATGGTGTGGCTAAACGTGGCTGTGGTGTCGAAGGCCACGCCTTAGCCACGCCAAATGGCCACGTTTGGCCGCGTCGTAGCCACGTCTTGCGGTGGCGGCAAGGCGTGGCCAGCCGCGGCTGGTGGTGGCAGGGTCTTGACGTGATAGTGCTTTTTTGTTCCAGGTTTTGAAAAGTGAAAGTTAACTCGAGAATTGTGGATTTTTGCGAGAAATGTTCTGTTGTAAACTGGATGACGTGACCTAGGGCAGTAACCAGTAGCAGCGAGTCTGAAAACGTGTTGCTCCACTGTTCTTCATATTATACAGAGTATCAGCAATGTCAAAATGGGAGGAGATGGGCGACCTGTCTTTGCAGACGAAACAATCAACCTGATGATGTAACGGACCGCAGATATGACCTCCACATTTCGGGTTCCCACATGGAGAAGTCGAGTTCTGTGAATATTGTTGCCGATTAAGAAAAAGTTGCCTGATTAAATGCTCACGGCTTACGGTACCTTAAGGAACCAGTGACGGTCATTGTAAATAGCGGATAATTTTCGAAATGTCAGTGTTCCTTAATAATTTATTTTTCTTGGTATTTAAACTAACACAAAATAATGAATTACGCCTTTTTGTATGGGCAAGATAATAAAGTATGAAAACATCACGATGATTATCGCCACAATGCCGTATATGATAATTCAAAGCAGGACACGAGTTAAAGCTTTATTCTTTGATGGATTTCACGTCAAAATGTCCCTATAATTAATTACGAATTCACAACTAAGTAGCCCTAACGATATCTTGGAGAGCGTAATGGGTCAAAGTTCAGTGTTGCAGAAGTATGTATATTTCGGGGATAAAGAGCACATTGATTCAAATGTGTTCTCTCCCTACAACACAGAAAATTAAAATTTAAGAGGCTGCCATCGAAGCGCGAAAAAATGCGGATTCCAGAACGCAGCTGAAAAGGGGCACCACTGGGATAGAAGTTATTTTCCCGGTATAGGCGGATCACATTCAGTAATGTGGCTTAATCTGTAAGTCATTTTGCAGATTGTCCCTGAAACTTTTCGATTAGGTAACTGCTTCGCCACGTCCACAGTCTCCATGTTTGGTTTTTTTGCTCAAGTTGTGCTCTTCTGAATATTCTGAAGACTTTGAGGAAGCATTTACTGTCGAAAATTGCGAAAACCTGTTTGAAGACGCCTATCAGGAAAGTTGTGGAATTTGCCGCGTTTCAGCAGTAAGTATGAACCTCTAAAGTGTTCGTAGTCCAAACTTCGAGGCTCTTCTGTGTTTCTGCCTTCCAGAGTGGCATTTCGTTTAGACGGCAAGGGCGCTTACTGGGGACCTGGTTTCGACTTCCGAGATGTGACACGGAACAGCTGCATGCTGTAAACTGCAAGTGCCATTGACAGCATTATTCCGCCAGTCGACAAACAATTCTTGCAAGTTCGCCTCATCGGCAGGAGTAGGGATTCATATTGACCCAACTGTGAAAAAGTCGGCACCTCGGTGGGAGTCGAACCCACGCAGTAAGGAGAAGGCTTTAGTACATCCAACGCTCTAACCACTTGAGCTACGAGGTTCCGCCGGACGACGCGAGTTTAAACTCGAAAGGTAGGAGGAAGGTCCAAGTTGTTGTTGGTTTCCACCTGGCGAGCCGGTCGATAGTGTTGTTGGAAATCGTGGATAGACTGTTGAGGACACTTCTGAAGTGCCTGACCCAATATTCGAGAATCTGCGAATTTTGGCGAGGGGTGTTGGTCCATTGGAGCTGAGCGTCGGAGCGGTTCCTTTGGCTGTTGGACCGTAGATCGTCTTTTTTTACTCGAAGAAGTTCTCCGTTTCATTGTAAACCGCATATTCCTGGACATCCTCGGCCCTGCGAGTCATCCAGATATACTCCATCTCCCACACTCATTGCTGCAAAAGGCGGCGACATCTGAAGAAAGCCGCTTTGTTTGCTCTAGTCTGATGGTCTATGTTGGCCTTTCGGTGAGCAGATTGCTGATATCTGCGTCGCTGTCATCAAAGCAATCCTGATGTGGAAGATGTGTGCATCCAGGGATGTCTAGGACAGTGAAGTAGACGGTACTCTACAGTTATTATCATCGAGTCTCAATGATGACGATATCTTCCGGAACCTGTAGGTTCTCCAGTCACAGGTTATCTGCCTGGCCAAACTGAAGCGATGGACAGGCGGTCGCTTACCACATGGTTTCCTGCGAGGTTCCAGACAGAGTCTCATTTTCGGGACGACGAAACGGTGATCCGTCCAACCGTGCGCGTTGTCGACAGCCTTGGTTACCAGCTCGTCCTGTAGTACAGCAACTGCCGGCGTTGCGATTATGGGTGAACTCAGGCCGACATCGCCCGCTCGAAAGACGGAAGAGAGTGTTGGTCAGAAGACGCGGTGTTATGCATAGGTCCATAGAAGGAGAAGGAGGCCGTTTTCGTTATAGCCGCCGATTTCATTGAAACTCAACACTCTTCTTCAGTCAACTTGGTCTGTTTCGACTCGGACATTGGCAGCATCGGCGACAATCAGCTCGCCCATCTTCGACACAGTTTCCAGGATGCCATAGAATTCCTTGTATAACTTTTTTCTCACCTCGTTGGATTGGTCGCTGGGGATGGGAGGAGCGGCGTGGGTAATGATGATAGGGGTGAATTTGACTACCTGAAAAAGCAGTCGCAGAATCATGAGACAGCCGTTAACATCATGCGGCAGTCAGGACTGTCGCCCATGATGTCGCCCGGATGGCAAAGGCGACGCCAGCGTCAAGCTACTGTGAATTTGGGCGGTCGCTCCAGAGGAATGTGCAACCGGCATCCACTTTCTTCAGCTGGCCGAGTACATAGATGTGGGTGTTGTTGAAAGGATCTGCAAGCAAATCCGTCGACCTATGAGGTCCTCGCGTTGAACAGACCGTCTGTAGAGGATGAATTAAAACTTGGCCATCAATCTATGAAGCCAACCGTGTCCTCGCTGTCAATGCGAAACGAACGTGGAGCGATTTGCTAGCGCCTCGGACTCTTAGCCTGATACTGATACTGATTGATATACTGACTGATACTGACTGATCTCATAACTTCTAGCGTGCTCACACTGTCGGCGAACATTCCATGCACAGATCGGTCTCGTCGGACGTCTCCAGACCCACTGGATCGGCAAATGAACAACTTCACTTGCGGAGTCCACAAACGTCACCATCGTCACCCCGGCACCAAACTCCACAATGGTGAATTCCATCAGCATATTCGCCAGAGATGATGGCACTTATGATGCCACGACGCCTCATCCGATATCGTCTCCCCTCCCCACACCACCTCTTTCGTCCCTGTCACAACCCCTCGAGGACGAATACCACCTCTCCAATAGCCCCAACCCTACTGCACTATCGAAATACTCTTGGATCTTATCGGGCCACTTGTGAACCCACCAAACCACAGCCGACTAAGCCGTGCCCAAAGGACCGGCATGTTCCCGTTTTACTTACTTCGCGTACCCACAGTGTCCAAGATACTCGGCGATCGCACTGGCCTGTTAGGTCATGTACATATCAACGAAAATCTGAAGTAGGACACGGTCCAGGTCGCATCACACAAGCGCATCTAAGCCACATAGGATTCTTCTCGGCGCATGCGTATACACGAAAGTTAAAAAAAAACAAACTTCACATGTTACTCATGAAAAATACAAGCGGCTTAATTTGTAATTGACAGCATGACAGACAAAACGTCTTCCCATTTACGTGAGAAGTGAACTGTTTGGCGAAGGCCGACACATGTGGAAGAGGCACCATATCTTGGGTGGCAGGCGTAGGTGGGCCAGTTAGATTTTCGAGTCACATGCGCAATCTCGTGCCTGACTCGGACAAGCCACTGGTGTATACGAGGTCATAATGAGAATCCATTCATTCGCCCCTCGGTACAATCGACCTAACACGTCTGAATTTACGAGTTGTACAGTGGAAGGCTGCACAGAGATCGGTCAGATGTGGTTATGTAGCCGCACATAAAAATAAACAAGCCCCAGACGCCTGTTATTAAGGTACCAGCGATAATTGGGGGTTTTATGGGCGGCGCAAGTGAGAGCACAGGCGACTAGGTCAAATAATTTTATGCAAAGCAAAAACTAGTTGGAATGCGCAGGTGTGCATTGAGTGGTTGAGAAATAGTTGACATAACCCCTAACACTGACCCATAAACCCTAACCCTAAACCCCAACCCCCACCCTAAGCCCTAACCATAACCTCAGCACTTATCCCAACTCTAACTCCAACCCTTAACCGTGATCCTAAATCCTAACCCTGAAGCTTCGAATGATGCCCTGTTACTCCTGTCACTGTCTAATGAATATGCCTGCTTGTCCATCCTAGCTGCAAGACCCATAGTGTTCTGTTATGTCTATCCTCTCTTCTACTTAATCTCCGCACAACACAACAATGGTCGCAGGCAAATTCGGGTCGTTCTCTCACTAACAAAAAGTCGTTGCCCATAGTGGAGTTCCGTGGCCGTCTGGGATAGTCCGGCATCCCTATATAGAGGGTGCGCTGTCTGTTCCCGCGAGAGGGAAGGGGCTAGAAAACGTGTCATAAAAATTGCTGGGAACCACGCTGTCTGTGGTCTGACCGTGACCGCAGACAAGAAACAAACGGTCGAAATAGAAAAAACCGAAAAAAACACCCATTACTCTCTTACTCGTCCTGCCTTTTCTCCTTCTTCCCTCATTTCCTTTTTCGCCGCCGAAATCGTCAGACTGACAGGGTGAGTCCACTCACTCTGGCCGCCTGGAATGTTCGTTCCCTTTTAGACAATCCGAGGGACAACCGACCGGAACGGAGGACAGCGTTAATGACTCGGGAACTGGCGGGCTGCAAGGTCGACATCGCCGCACTCAGCGAGGCCCGACTCTCCGAACAAGGCCAACTGGAGGAGGTGGGTGCCGGCTAACCTTCTTCTGGAGCGGTCGACCCAGGGCAGAGGGACGGGACGCGGATGTCGCCTTCGCCATCCGGAACGACATCGTGGGACGACTGCTCTGCTTGTTGCAGGGCATCAACGATCGCCTGATGAGCCTCCGTCTGACACTCTGGGAAGGCAATTTCGCCACCACCATCAACGCCTACGCTCCGCCGATGAGCAGTCCCGACGCCGCCGCCGCTGCCGCTGCCGCAAGAGACAAATTCTACGTGGACCTGCACGCTCTCTTGGTAACTGTGTCGAAGGCGGGCAAGTTTATTGTCCTTGGTGGCTTCAACGTCCGCGTCAGCACAGACCATGCTGCCTGAAGAGGAGTGCTGGGTCCCCATGGTCTCTGCAGTTCAAATGAAAATGGGCTGCTGCTTCTCCGCACCTACGCCGAACACCGCACCATTCTAACGAACACCTTCTTCTGTCTGCCGGAGCGAGAGAAGGCCACCTGGAGGCATCCTCGGTCGCGTCAGTGGCACCTGCTGGACTATGTCCTCGACCGGAGGCGAGATCAGCGGGGCGTGCTGATGCCAACAGCGATCGCGAGCGCTGACGGGTGGACCAACCATCGTCTCGTCATCTCGAAGATGAGTATTCGCCTACAGCCTCGCAGGAGACCTCAAGGTAAGCGACCCCCTGGTAACCTGAATGTTGCCTTACTTTCTTTGCCCGCTCACCATCTCTATTTCAGCAATGAGCTAGCTCAAAGGCTAGACAAGCTTCCTATCGCTGCCGCCGCCGACGCCGCCGCTGCCGAAAACGCCTCCGTGGAGAACCGACGGTGCCAACTAAGAGACACGGTCCAGACGACGGCGCTGGCCGACCTCGGTCTCGCACGCCGCCAACACCAGGACTGGTTCAACGACAACGACGCCGTCATCAGCAATCTGCAGGCTGAGAAGAACCGCCTACACAACGCCTACGTAGACCACCCCATTGACGAAAACAGAGCTGCTTTTTACCGCAGTCGCCGCCACCTTCAGCAATGACTGCGCGAGGTGCAGGACGCCTGGACGGCATGCAGGGTTGAGAAGATCCAAGGGTACGCGGATAACGACGAATGGAAGAACTTCTTCTCCACAATCAAAGCTGTCTACGGTGTGCCGACAAAAGGCACCGCTCCTCTCCTCAGCGCCGACGGTAATACCCTACTCACCGAGAAAACACAAATACTACAGCGATGGGCCGAGCAGTTCCGATGTCTACTCAACCGCCCCTCCACCATCTCTGACGCCGCAATAGCCCGCTTACCCCAGGTAGAGACCAACGTGGACCTCGACTTCCCGCCATCTCTCCAGGAAACTATCAAGGCCGTGCAGCAGCTCTTCAGCGGGAGAGCGCTCTGACCGTACTCGATCGCAGCCGAGGTATAGAAGCACAGTGGATCCCAACTAATAGATCATCCGTCACCGTTCATCCAGGCGATGTGGCGTCAAGGCGAAGTCCCACAGTATTTCAAATACGCCACACTCGTTCATTTATACAAGGCAAAGGGAAACTGCCTACTCTGCGACAATCACCGCGGCATCTCCTTGTTGAACACCGCCGGGAAATCTTTGCTCTTATCCTCCTCAACCGTCTGAACAAACACCTCGAACAATGTCTCCAGCCGGAAAGCCAATGCGGCTTCCGCTGTCATCGCGTGACCATGGATATGATCTTCGCCTCTCGCCAACTTCAGGAAAAATGCCAGTAGATGAGGACCCACCTGTACCCCACTGAGAAGACGCAAATCCTGCAGCGATGGGCCGAGCGTTTCCGAGGCGTCCTCAACCGCCCCTCCGTCATCTCCGAGGCCGCCATCGAGCGTTTGCCGCAAGTCGAGACCAACGTGGACCTCGACCTCCCGCCATCTCTCCAGGAGACCATCAGGGCCGTGCAGCAGCTCTCCAGCGGGAAAACACCCGGATCGGACGCAATCCCTGCTGAGGTCTACAAGCACGGAGGTCCCCAACTAATGGATCACCTGACTGCGCTCATCCAGGAGATGTGGCGTCAAGGCGAAGTCCCGCAAGATTTCAAAGACGCAACCATCGTGCACCTATACAAGCGAAAAGGGAATCGTCAAGTCTGCGACAATCATCGTGGCATCTCCTTGCTAAAAATCGCCGGGAAGATCTTCGCTCGCATCCTTCTCAAGCGTCTCAATAACCAACTGGAACAGGGCTTTCTGCCGGAAAGCCAGTGCGGCTTCCGTCGTCATCGTGGGACCACGGATATGATCTTCGCCGCCCGCCAACTACAGGAGAAGTGCCAGGAGATGCGTACCCACCTGTACTCTACCTTCGTGGACCTGACGAAAGCCTCTGACACTACGAAATATAAAGGACTGTGGAAAATTATGCAGAAATTCGGCTGTCCTGAGTGATTCATTCAGATGGTGCGTCACTTGCACAACGCTATGATGGCACGAGTCGCGGACAACGGCGCTGTCTCGGAGGCATTCATAGTGACCAACGGAGTGAAGTAGGGATGCGTCCTGGCGCATACCCTCTTCAGTCTTATGTTCTCTGCCATGCTCATGGACGCCTACCGTAATAAACGCCCGAAGATCCGCATCGCCTACAGGAGGGACGGTCACCTTCTAAACCAACGGCGGATGCGCTTACAATCGCGCGAACCCACAACCAACGGTCACAAAATTTTCTTTGTCGACGACTGCGCCCTGAACACCAACTAGGAAAAGGACATGCAACGGAGCATGGACCTCTACTCTGCCGCCTGCGAAAACTTCGGTCTGGTCACTAAAAAGCAGAAGACAAAGGACGTGCATCAACCGACAAACAACACAGCAACTCCATACAACGCGCCGCAAATCAGCGTAAATGGAACCCAAATGCAGGCGGTGGACAAATTCCACCACCTGGGCAGAACCCTCTCCCACAGCACGAAAATTGACGATGAAGTCGCCCGCCGGATTTCGAAGGCCAGTCAAGACTTCGGCCATCTCCAAAGCATAGTTTGGAATCGCGACGGTCATCAGCTCAGCATGAAACTGAAGATGTACAAAGCAGTCATCATCCCGACGCTGCAGTATGGAGCAGAGACTTGGATGGTGTACACAAAGCAGGCACGCACACTGAACCAATTCCACCTCAGTTGCGTTCGTCGCATCCTGAGGCTGAGCTGGCAGCATCGAATCCCCGACATTGTGCACCCAGCACCAACATCACCTCCTCCGTAGCCGACACCGATACCGCCGTCTTCTCATGCCCACACTGTCCCCGCCCATTCTCCTCTCGTATCGGACTGGCCGGTCACTTGCGTATTCATCGCACAGAGACTGGCGAACCAGTGCCTGGAGCACCCATCTACACCCACCGCAATCGCCTCCACTGCCTACATTGCCCTCGTACTTTCACGCATCGCATGGGCCTATTCGGCCACATGCGCATCCACGACGACCTGCGGTAGACAACCGCCGGCTACACTACACCAGAACACCCTCCCTCCCTGCCTCCACCACCACCCCACCACCCCACCGCACATCAACACTCACCCAAAAGCAAGCACCCAACTGCCACCTACCACGCAAGTGGGAAGTGCGCATCTCGACTCGGTTCCCCGCGGCTTCGGCTGCACGGGCGCCTTGAGTCTGAGACTATCCTGACAAGTGAAGCGTCGTGGATAGGAAGGCTGCTGATTGACGTCCCCACTCGGTCCACGAAGTCTTCCCGTTGTGTGTGTTGTGTGGAGTGGCGGACTGGTGGGATGGGAGACGGGCTGAAATAGCACCTTCCACGACCCTCTCACGCAAGTGAGAGACAGGTCGTTCAACCTCGTGTGAAATCCTGGTGTATGTGTGTCTGGGGGGCCAGGTCGTGCACGTGGCGCACGCAGGTATGGTCAGTCGACCGTGTCAGCCACCGCGCCCATTCCCCACTCCAGTCTGCCGACCGGCTCGGACAGTGGCTAGGGTGTGGGAATGGGAACGGAGAGTGAGGTCGACGACTCAGCGCACTTTCTCCTCACTATAAACAATCTGACGCGCTTGTAACTATCACTGTGCGCTAGAAGCGGTGGCTTGGGAGGTTGCCAACTTAGGAATAACTTGGACCTCTTATACTGGAGGTCTGAGAGTCAGGCTTCAATGTTTCCTTCTTAATGTGGCCTCTATGCCACTCCGGCTGTGGGAGATCCGAGCCAGGCGTTGGCGGCACGTCTAGGTGCGACTTCTGCCGTGCCAATCTCCACTCTCTGTTGTGTTGGCGAAAATCCTGGTTATTTGTTTGTGGACCAGGGGGTGTGGTGGAGCGCCAAGGCGAGGATCCGTCCGAACCATCCATCTGAAACCTCCCTCGTCTCCCGCACCTGGGCAATACCCTCTCCCACAGCAAGAAAATTGACGATGAAGTCGTCCGCCGGATTTCGAAGGCCAGTCAAGACTTCGGCCATCTCCAAAGCATAGTTTGGAATCGCGACGGTCATCAGCTCAGCATGAAACTGAAGATGTACAAAGCAGTCATCCTCCCGACGCTGCAGTATGGAGCAGAGACTTGGATGGTGTACACAAAGCAGGCACGCACACTGAACCAATTCCACCTCAGTTGCGTTCGTCGCATCCTGAGGCTGAGCTGGCAGCATCGAATCCCCGATACTGATTTACAGGAACGGACGGGAACCCTCAGTATCTACACCATGATCAGACTAATGCAGCTGCATTGGAGCGGTCACCTGGTGCGCATGGACGACGAGTGACTACCCTGCCGACTCTTCTACCTAGACGTCGCCACGAGTTTTCGCCGCCAAGGAGGCCAAATTCTTCGATACCAGGAGCCTGAAATCCTCCCTGATGCGTCTGCAAATCAATCCGGCCAACTGGGAAGACCTCGCCCACTACCGATCGACCTGGAAGAGGAAAGTGAAGACAGACGCTGCGATCTACGAAGCCAACCGCATCGTTGTCGCCAAAGCGAAACGCGAAACACGCAAATCACAGCTGCGTGCACTCCGCAACGAAGACCCACAACCGCTTTCAACTTGTCCTCGGTGTCAACGGACATTCCGGGCACTAACTGGACATGTTGTACACGTTTGGATCAACTGCCCCTCTCCGATCGCACCAACCGTCGTCTCTCCGCCCGCCTCTTCCTCCTCCTCTCCGCCGCCAACTAACTCTGACTGCTCTTCCGAACCACCATTTCCATCCTCCTCCTCCTCCTCCTCCTCCTCCTCTAGTGTCATAACTTCTGCAAAAGCTTAATTATTACTAATACGCGCAAGAAATCAATGCTGCTTTTAAGCAACCAAGTTTGGCAATCTAAATGACCGAACGGAGTTTTTCGGAGAGTTTTGTTGGCTCGAAGCTGGAGAAAGACACTTGACTGCATGGAAGTTTGATTAAGTTGTCTTGCAGCAATTGCTATCTACTGTGAGTCAATCTATCCCTCTTCTCTCATGCTGAGGCTTTGAAGTTTTTGGGGTTTCTGGTCTGCTGATGCGGTCGTGATGTCGGAGCCTTTTAGATGATGCGGCGACTGAAGTCTTGTAAAACGGAGAGGGCACTGTGTCGACTGAGTGATTGTTTCACCTGAAGGCGACCCTCTATTGCAATTCGTTGGCCTCATCTACGGCTTTCCGAGACGAAGCCATT